AGATGAAACCATCCCAAATCAAACAGGCTAAAGAAGTAAGTGAGAAAAGAAAATGACAGAGTTTCCCCCCCCCCCAAGAGATTTTCAGCCACTTGAAACGCACCAAATAGAGTATCATATAAACCAGAGAGAAGGAGAGGGAATGATTAGGGGATCGCATACGGATCGAAGGATCGAGAGGAGCAAACGCCCCCATACGGGCGTGCGAGAGGCAGAGGATGAGATCCTCGCAGAGGATGAGATAAGATAAGGGATGAGTCGCAGGATCGTCCCGCGTGCGTGAGGCGAGCACGGGAAGGAGTCTCCAACGACATGAAGGAGTGGGCCAGGCGAAACTGAACGAACCGCGGCTAGGGCAGAGGTCCACGAGCGCGAGAAGAAAAAGCGAGAGAGAGGAAAATGAAATTAGGTTAAGGATTTTTTTAATATAAGTTATTAATAATAATAATAATAATAAAATATTATTTATTATTATAATTAACATTTAAATATGTATTTTCCCCAAGACGCGTCGTCGCAATGAAATAAACGTCCCCATAGGCAATGTCGATGTTCTGGACGCATCGGCGCAGTCCGTTACATCATCCGGAGTCGTCCGGGTAACCTCGTCGTTGATCGAGTCAAAATGAAATAAACGTCCCCATAGGCAATGTCGATGTTCTGAACGCATCGGCGCAGTCCGTTTCATCATCCGAAGTCGTCCGGGTAACCTCATCGTTGATCGAGTCAAAACGTATCGCGGTCCGAATCCTATCAAAATTTCGGTATAAGTTCAATCAAACAGGACGATGCAGAGGACGGCGGTGTCAAATCAACGAGTACAGTCAATCCTGAGGTCAACAGTCCTATAGGAATACTCCCTGAGTTCCTTCAAAGTAGTCTTACCTGCTAAGTAATAGCGGTCAAAACTATTATATGGAGCCTCAAGTTGAGCGAAGAAAAGTTAAGAATTGCTAACGGGGAGAGCTCCTTCACTAGTTTTCAAGGAGTAGTCGACAGAAAAATCCACGGCTAGATCCTAGGTTACTAAGGAGGAGAAAACTGCACCTCGACCGAAAGCGAGGTCAACAGTCCTCAAACTATCTAATATGAGCTGAAATAGTCCCCAGAGAGGACAGTTTTAGCCCCCTTTGAGAAAGTCTAGGGACTAAATTAATCCCAACAACGAGTTAGGAGACTATTTTGATACTTTTCTCGATATATAAGTAGCAAAAAGGTTTTTTAAATTCGTGTATAAGAAACACAAACATACATGTGTGCTTGTGAATATATAGAGTCAAATTTGAATTGAATCAAACTACTTTTGAGAGTTGTTCTCAGACCAACGAAAATTGATTTTAGTTTCAAGTCAATTATAAGTTGAGTTATTATCGAGTAAGTTTTAAATTTTAAAAATAATTATGAATCCCACCTCCAATCTACCAACTCTCTAAGAAAAAGAAACAAGTGATAACAACAAAACATTCATAAGCATATACCTTGAAATTCATAATTCATTAAGTATTTAACACCTCTGACAAATTGTAAAAGCGATATCATCAATACAATCACCGTGGTAAATAAATTAAGAAAATAAAATAAATAGCAAACATATTTTAAAATGTAAAAGTTGGAAGCGAAAATAAGACTATTCATCACACCAAGCCAAAGAATATACAAACAACAAATTTTGTGTGCATGAACATGAGCAGTTATACCACAAAACCAATTAAAAATCATTTTTTATCATAGTATGAAAAAAAAATGCAGGTTAACTCAACTTTGTTCTCGAGCAGTTCTAAGCAATGTATATCAAGAGAAAATGAGCTGATATTTTCTAATTTCATCCAATATACCCTTCATTGGTGATATTTAAACATGAGTTCTAATGTAAATGGATTTAGATTGTGAACTCAGCAGAATCCTTCTCTTTTCACTTTATTACAAGCCAAGAGGATGTGTTTGAAAATAAATTTAAACATTACAGACATTTATGGAAAAAAACTGGCACAAAAATCCTTTCTACAAGATGCATTCAATGAATAATTCATCTTACGCTTTCTGTCGTAACTCCATCCAAAGATCTTCGTCGGAAAGAGGAGGTGCTTTACCAATCTCCACTTCCAAGCGATACCTTGCTTTTTCGACTCTCAAAGTCTTAACCATCTCTAATTTTTGAGGTCTTCTGACGTCAAGCATTTCCGCTGCAAGAGGCACGGTTTTCACATACCTGTGGCGTTGAAGTTATTATGTAATTTAAATACAAATTAAATTTTCATAATTTCTAAGCCTCCATGGATTACCTTAAATATTTCAGCAGTCAAAATCCAAAAATTTGTTCGCCATAAATGTAACTTGGTACAAGCTTAAGTAATAGCAGGTCTTTGGATTATTGCATTCCTATGAAAATATGATCTGCATTGTTTTGATACCCTAAAACAATTTCCAAGCATATGTCTTGGCAAAAAATTCTTACAAGGAAGGCCATTGAATTCTGCATAATTACATTCCTTTGCCATTATTTATTAACATGATTAGAGAATGATGAGTAAAATGAAACTGAAAACTTCTTGTCCTTCAAGCATCAGCTCATGTCATTTGAAGATTATATGAATGATATACCAATAATCTTGTTCCCTAATGATATTTTGTGCTGGAATGACAGAAATCACGGTTTGGAGGTTCTAGTGGAGAGAAATATCACCAGGTAAAACAAATAAATCAAAAATTATAAAAACATAAGCAATGTAGAGAAGATTACCTGTCCAAAAATGGCATGAGAACGTAGTCATGAACCAAAAAGCTCACAAACCAAGGAATAAGAACCAGCAAAGCGAGGAACTTAGCCTGCAAAAAAAAAACAATTTTCACATTGTCACTTATCCTCTCCATTGTACCTTTGCAGATAATACATGTTTACTATTAACATTTTCAAGCTATTTAAAGAACTCAACATAAAAGGTAAAGATTCTTGAGTTAAAATTGTTTTAAACTTAATAAAATAAGTTTGTTAAGGCTTAATGGGCTCACCATGATGAGGCGCATTTGTGTTTCCAAACGGGTAGCTAATTTAATGCTTATGATCACTAATTGAACCCAGTATGAATTTAAACAATCTGAGCATGAACGCTATCACAAAACCTCAAATCAAGCCTGGGCTCAGCTTGAACATGCCTTTGATAAACAAGCTCAAGATCAAACAACCTTCGGCTAGGCTTGGTTCTATCATTTGCAGCCATATCAAGTGACTAGTGGAAACATTTTCTGTAACTAACAATGCAAACCAAAAATATGTATGAAGGGAGTCTTGTTTAATTGTAATGCTAAGAACAGTACTAATGATGGCTGCTTTTGCTACCAGGTAGAGTGTGACAGGAAGTAAACTTTGGGACGTTGCTAGATTTTGTGTAAGTTCAATAAAACCATCAGCAAGATGTTCTATCCAAGAAAATTCAATTGCAACAAACGAGATTTGGTGTAAGTTCAATGAAGAGAAACTTCCATGTGCAATTGCAAACAAGGGAGTCAAGCACTTCAGACATGGCCAGACAACATAGTTGGTCTTTTATTCCTTAGGTGGTGGATGTGGGTTATATCCCAAGGAGGAAATAAAACTTGACATGAGGACCAGAGTCGTTGCATGGATTAGTGAATGTTTTTCCTTTTTTTTTCACAAACATTGTCCAAGACAAATGAATTTTAGAACTAAGTGCGCTAGAACAAATGCGAGTCGTGGAGAGAACCAAGCCATTGCCAATGCTGATGTTGTGAAGCTTATATATAGTGAGTGAAGAATGAGAGTTTTCAAGCTAGCAACAACATGATGAAGCACTCCAGTATTGAAAAGCCACGTGTTCGAAGCATTATCAATGTGGGTAGCAGTTTGTTTCTATTGCGTGGGCACGTGATAATTCAATGGTGATGTGATCGTCGATGAGAGCACATGATGCAAAATTCGGTAAGGCAACAAATAGCTGAGTGAACTTAAACACCATAAAGTTAGCATTTACCAAGGCTTTGAAGGAGTTGAGCGCCTGACAAGGTTGCTCCTCATTGTGATAGAAGAAACTGCCAGTGTTGTTAAGAATGTAAATCCTAAAATGTTAAGAATGTCAGTCCTAAAATATGACTTTGATGATGTGGTTATTGGATTTTTGAAACGTAGAGTTGGGGATGGTGGAATCAAAGACACCGGATTGGCAATAGTTGTAATTGTCGCTTCATCATTAGTTTTGTTGTGTTGATTTGCATCATAGTGGAGGAGTTCTTCATGGTCATTCAAAATAAATCAAAGTGCCCTAAGCATTAATGGTAGAGATAAGGCTCGGTCCCGTGCATTCTTATGAAATGCCATTGTGAGGTTTTCATTATTACATTTGCAAAGAAGGGCTGGTTCATCAGCCGGCCCTTTAACAGAAAGAATGAGTTTTGTAATGCTTTAAAAACCTATGAAGGAGTCACACAATTTGTCAACTTGGAATAAAAATTTCGATGAGAGCGTTGGGCATATATGTGGGTAAAAACAACCCATGCATCACGAGCGACAATGGCATTCACAATAAATAGAATGATTGAGAGAGAGAGAGAGAGAGTAATGACACTCAAAATGAGTCGATCCTGATGAATCAAATGATGATGACCGCAATCAATTTATGGCAAGCATGGGTTTCGCCAAGTAGACCATACCCAAGTAAATGCGTGAGAGATTGTGACTTACACCATACATATTTTGCAGAAGTGAGAAATTACATTAAAGGAATAAGGTTGTCGACATCTTAGGGGTGGGGGAAGGATCGAGAGGGACGACATGAAGAGAAAACAGGGTTTGGACCAATGCTTTGGTACCATATAGATAATTGGAATTGGAGGAATGGTTGTCGAATTGTATGTCTTTGTCATCGATACTAAAGAATATTCATACATGCTTGGCAATGTATCCGTATTGGATTAAAAGCCATTACTGATAACAAATCCTTTGATCAAATAAATTCAAATATACAAGATTTGTGTTAAAGAATAAAGCATGCTGTACAAAATAATAAAAAAAAAAGATGCTTCCTTAATAAAACCAGCATCATCAGAGGTTTTTAAGAATAAATGAAGCATATCTTCAATATTGATTCATATACCGAGCTTGTTGAAGCAAATTGAAAAACTCTGTCTTCAAACAACAGCTCATTATCATCCTTCCCTGTGATCAAATTCCTCATAGCCCCAATAAAACCCTTCTCCCGCATTATTTCAGAAGGATCACTGGAGACCTCATCGCCTGCTTCCGAACCTTCCTCCCCAAAATCCTTATCCCAAGAAGAACCAACTGAATCCAGCGAACCATCTCCAACCCAGTCCTCCCAACCTCGCGCCTCAGCATTTCTCGCATCTTCCCGTGCTTCCCTCAGCTCAGTGATCGCCTCAGCCCTTCTCTTCCAAGCTTCAAACTTTTCATCCTCCGACACCTCTTCTTCTACCTCCTCGTGGTGCTCGATTACATCCTCCTTCCAACCACTTGACACTTCATCATCCTCTTCCAAAAACAGCCTTTCCCACCAAGGCCTCTTCCGTTCATGACCCCCCTTCGCGGAGAGCACCAGTCGTCGGACCCGAAATCTTCTCCTCTTCCAACCGAAATCACAAACTCCCAGAGCTTCGCCGACTCGATTCTCGTTCCCATAATTCCCATCCCTAAACAATAAAACATTTCCACAAAAAACCATCGAGGTGCTCATCAAGTACATGAAACGTACCCCACATCTTTCACGCTTTCGGGCTTAGTCGAATCCTTGCAGCATTCCAAATGGGAGCTAAAACCCGAGAAAAACCCTAGATGAAAATGCCGATTGCGAGCCTCCTCGCCGAATCCCGCTCTCTCATTCCGCGTTGAAGAGTCTAGAGCTGGAGCGGCGGCAGTGGGGCATGAGAGCGGGAGAGAAAGGAATGGATAACGTAACGGCTCCCAAAGCCACAGCAGAAGCGGAAGACGTGACCCCGCTTGGATAGATTGTTTTGGTGTCCTGAACTGTGAACTAGGGCTACAAACGTGTTCAGGCATGGCTCGTGACAGGCTCGTTCCGAATTATTCTTATTTGAAATTGGCTTGTGAAGAGTGTGCTAGTATTTGGTTCGAATTAAATATTTTTATTCGTGTTCGGCTCAAAATCGGCTCTTTAAAATTAATTTTAAAAAAATAGAATTAGAGTATCGGATTCGAATCTTGATCAAATCTATGCAAAAGAAGATCCAGAACGATATTACCACACAAGCTATCATGATTTAAACTTAGATATAAATACATATAATATATTATTATATAAATAATTATATGATTTTTTTTCAAACTAAAACATGTTGAACACAAACGAACAAAGAGTTGTTCGTGTTTTGCTCGTTTATAATTCGAGCCGAAAAAAATTATGTGTGTTCCACTCATTTACTTGACGAACGAGCCCAACAAGAACTACCACGAGCTATTCACGAACAACAAACATTTTTTTATAGCCATATTTTGGGGTCGCTAAGGCACCCGAATTATTAAAAAATCGCTTATGATCAAGGTAGATCGATATTAATTTTCCGATAAGATGCTTAAAAAAGTTATGCGCTAAAAGAGCAAAATGTCGCACCCTATAATACTATAAATAAGTCCCCACTTGGAGTGGGTGTGCTCGATGATTAACCACTACCTCTATAACTATCATTCACAATAGACCACCACTTACCGTCACCGTCTACCGCTACCAACCATCTGTTCTCAGCCACTACAACTTGCTATTGTTGAAGTTATAGAACGAATGCCGTCGAATTTCTAACACATGCATTTCATTAACTATATAAAGAGAAATATAGTTTTTAAGTTTACGGTTTTAAACTTCATTCTCCCCTCGTGAAAGAATGTCTACCCATGTACTTATACACATATAGTTGATTGCTTTGACTGGGCAAAGCCCTGTAATTGATTTTCTTTTTAGAATTTTTCATGTAAAAACTATGATATCCCGCTTAACTATACTTCCTCACTTGTAAATGTGTTGAAATTTTTGTATAACGCCGTGATAATAATTCACCACTCCGTCGTAGTAAACTTTTCGACACCCAACAATACTAAACATATTATAAAACTGGGGCATTTACATACATAACTTCAAATTATTTTATATTTATATGTTTGTTTAACACGTAATGTTTATTTTACGCGATTCGTTCATATCACAAAAAAAAAAAATTCAATATTTTAATTTTTTTATTTGAAATTAAACCACAAAATTTAAGTATATGTAATATGACATATAGGATTAATGTTGTGCTTGAGATACACCTTAAGATAATTTGAAATTCATAAAAATAATTTATAGATTGATAGTAGTATATGTGTAAATACTAAAATTGAAATTTAGAGGTTAGATATGTTATAAATACATAAGAAATGAGCGGTATACTAATAAAAAGCAAAATAAAAAAAAAATTAAAATTTACTAAACAGATCAGCCACCACTATTTAAAGATCATACTGCCATGAACAAACACATACAAGATAGAGAGATTAAATGATTACATCTTCCAGAAACTAAAGATAAACTAGCATGATTTATTATTTGAAGCATTTACGTACATACCACACAATTCTCATGTGTTTACATATATATGACAACTAAACTTTCCTATTTTCATACATAACCCTCAAATTTAAACAGAACATAAAAACACCATGAGTATTAAATTCATAGAAGAGGATATCAAAACATTATAAAGATAAATATCTATATTTAGCTGTTACATGCACAATTGTCATGGCAACCATGTAAATTCTCTTATTAAGTTAGCATCATTTTATCTCCAAATAATCAACAGTAAGCGGCTTAAAAAATCCATTAGAATCGTCTTCTATAATTTTAACAATTTTCCTGGACAAATTTGCATAAACCACCCAATCCCCATCTCCTCTCCCGCCCATCATCGGCATAACGTAATTCTCCTTCCATGAAAAATAGTACGATCCGAACAAAGCCTTCTCCCACCCAAACTCCACTTCCCTCGCCGGAAACCCCCTCCCCGACGAGACCACCACCGACAACCCTTCCTCCAAATAAAGCCTAGGCCCCACTGCCTCCGGCCTCCTAACCTCCACCCAATCCACCAATCCCCTAAATTTTAACAATTTTCCTGGACAAATTTGCATAAACCGCACAATCCCCCCCGCCCATCATCGGCATAACGTAACCTGCATTACAGTTCAATGAAAGATAGTACGATCCGAACAGAGCCTTCCCCCACCCAAACTCCACCTCCGTCGCCGGAAACCCCCTCCCCGACGACACCAACACCGACAACCCTTCCTCCAAATAAAACCTAGACCCCACCGCCTTCGGCCTCCTAACCTCCACGCAATCCACCAATGCCCTAAAATGCTCCTCCCTCGCCGCCGCTACAATTAATCCATTCACAATTTCAGCAATCTCCTTCAGATCCTTCTTCCCCGCATCCACATACTCATAAAGGCACGACAATACGTTCCCGAAATAGGCATCCATTGCTAACCCCAGCCGCTTCCGACCATCCACCATTACCCCCATTTGACTCGCTCGTCTTCCTGCCGCGCGC